GTTCCATAAACATCCGCGGCTGGCTTTTTTTGTAATTCTCAACAAGTGCCATGAAAACACTCCGCTAAAAAATTGAATCCTTGAAATTACCACCTCAATAAGCTATTGCAACAAAATTTCACAGCGTCTTAGGATTAAAAAATGAGCACATTAGCTTATATTTTGAACAAATAAATTTTTCGAGAAGTATGATTCAGCAAGCAAAAGTAGAAGGAATGAATTTTTTGGAAGTATTTCATGCCTAAAAAATAAGTGCCTGTAAAATTCTGAAAAAATATGTTGATGACAGTTTTGTATATGAAGTAAAATTTCGTTACAACGACATCATTTGTTGGGTATCTTAAATAGCTTTGCTATGCTGTAACTTACTGTTAAAAAAAATTTGTCATGAAGAAACTCAAATAAAATTGTCGCAAAGATGAATTTGTTGTTAGCAAATGTTCATTATAATGAGAATTGTTGCAATGAGATTATATTGATTTAAAATACTGCTCTATCAAGGATGTTGGAAAGGGCTCACTAGAGTTGATTTTAAGAAAATGGAATGCTGATTCAACCGTGGGGTTTGGTTGGGAATTTCTATGAAATTCCATTGAACCTTGTGAACGCTGAAAAGCGGCAAATAAAGTGTTCTGTTCATTCATTCATTCATGAAATTCCAAAAGAAAAGAAGTAAGGTGTGCATTTTTTCTCTGCCAAGAACCGCTTGCAGTTTATAACTCAAGATAAATTGAAAACTCTCTTCTGCGAATGTCTGGTTGCAACAAACCTTTTTTGCCTGTCATCAAAATGTCTGCCAGTCTGTCTTGCTGATAACTTACCTGATCAATTAATTGCAAATTTGATCAAGTGCCCTCTTGTGAGAATGTATTTGCAGTTTTTGATGCAAAAAAATGTAACTTCACAAGTAAGAATTTAGTAATTAATGTTTTTTAACAACATATCTTTATTCATAAGAAAACCTTACAATGTTGTAATTTCTCAGTACAGGACTGTATCATCTGTATGTACAGTGATACCCCAACATGCAGACGTAATTGGTGTTTTGACCTGTCCCTATGTCAAAGCATCCACATGTCAGATCTCATTTTCTCATAGACTTCAATTGTAACTCATTTGATTGGTTTGCCAGTTCATCAAAAATAAGAAATAAATCCTCCAAAAAATATAATACATACCATGTGTTTCTCATCAGCAAGATGCAGAATGTTACTGCGCAGAAGGAAACCACACAGAATCTGATCTTCTGGCACAAAAAGGGCCCCAAAAAGCAAAGAAAAGTACAAATCTTGCTATGCTGTGCACAGATGATGGAGAATACCAAAAAAGAATAAAAAAATAACTTTCTTCTTTGATTATAAATTAAAGTGCATTTTAATAAGATTCATTTTTGACTTATATGAATGTATTTATATAAATAAAGGTTAACGTTGATAAGTCAAACCACCCTAAGTCAAATACTTCCCTAACCAGAATTTTTTTCAAGTCCCTGTCTGGATTCCCTTGGAAGCAATGCATGAAAAACCTACAGAACCCAAAATATTTTTCTCTCAAACCTCTACAAGTCAAATTTTCTGAGGCCTTTTGTTTATCATTTCCTTTAAATATGAAAGAGAGAGAGTCAATAAAACAAATGATTTTATGTATCTTGAAAGGAAGTGAAAGACTCATTGAACAAATGAACCCCTGCCTCCAAGTTCAGCAAGCTGTAAACTTATTAAGAAGCAAGTTCAGGCCCAGAATATCCTCATGTACAATTTCCTGCAATTTTTGTTACTTATCCTAACAGCAAAAATGATTTCTTCCTCAAATAAAAACCTCAAAAATTGAAACCTCCCTAAGTCAAATTTTTGTCCTGGTCCCTAGAAATTCAACTTACAGAGGTTTCAACTGTAGCTCAATTTGTTCAAAAGATATCAAAATGTGAAAAATTTTAAATTTTCCCAGAAATTTTTGAAAAGTGTCCATATGTTGAGATTTTGTCTGGATGTTGGGTCTAATTTTTCAACGTTTAAAAGGTCCTTAGGTTGAATTGTCCATATTTTGGGATGTCCATCTTTCGGGGTCTTGCTGTATACCATAATTATTTTGTAGAAAAAATACTAATAATTACGCCAAAAAATAGATTGAGGGAAAAAATGGTTGAACTTTATTTGTGCTTGTACTTGAGTGATTGAACAGAACACTTTATTTTGCCGCTTTTCAGCGTTCACAAGGTTCAATCAAGATTTCCTACTTGAAAATAAAATTATCTGGGCTGTTTATTTTCCTTCAGGACCATACGTGTACCAGGTATACAAGACTTACGGGTTTGCCGAACAAGACATCTCGCTGCTGTACCTGATTGGATTCGCTTCAAGCGTTTTGTTTGGCACTTGCACCGGACCCCTGGCTGACAAATTCGGCCGGAAACGGATGTGCATCATGTATTGCGTGTTATACGCGATTTGTTGCGTTACCAAATTGAGTCCGGATTTCCGTATGCTGGCCTTTGGACGCGTTTGCGGCGGCGTTGCCACGTCATTGTTATTCTCCAGTTTCGAGTCCTGGTGAGTGAATTTCCCGAAGAAGAAGAAGAAGAAGAATAAACGTGTTTACGAAGATTTTTTTTTTCCGAGAAGAGGAACCGAAAATAAATGCGTCGGGTGCTGGCCGAGAATATTTGTGATCAGGTATTCAAAAATGAAAATCCTAAAGAATAATTAGATTAACCCTGTTCTTGTTTCAGGTTCAAGTCAAATTCGGACAAATTTCAATTTCTCTTGTCCCATATTTTTGTTTTGTTTTACCGTCAAGGTTCCTCCAAAAAATATTTATCTACGGTTATATTTGTGACAGGGATGAACATTTTTCAACGTTATGAGCTTCATTCAAAAATTACGAAAGTTGGAAAGCTCATTTTTGTGTCAAAGAATTGTTAACTTATGGCATTGGAACGGTGTTAAGTACAGTAATAACACACTTAATATTACTCATTTTTGTCAAATACACACGACTGCATAATAGTGGTAAATTTAAAGTTCGGGGTTTTAAGGCTTAAAAGCCAAAAACATTTAAGTAATTTCAGCTAGTTTCTTCTACTCTCTGAAAGGCTTAAGTTTAATCTCTTTTGACATAAAATTTTTTTACAAACTTTTAAATTCAAAATAAAAACTGTAAGTAAAAATTTAATTCTGAATAGAATGGAATAACATTTCAAGGAAGAACACCAATCTCCAATCGCGGTTAAACAGGTCACGTTTATCCACTTCCTTGAAGCAATTCAAATTGGCAATGAATGTGAAAAGATGGTGTTGTATATCTTTTGAAATAGGTCACGATTTTGCAATTACTTGGCTGCATCTCACGGCTGCATTTCCTGCCATGATACAGAATCACGAATTTCCGTATTTTTATTACTGTACATAAATTAAAAGGCGCGTCAAGTAACTTTTACATCCAATTTACCTTTACAGAACTGTATCCCCGCAGTAAATTCGATTTGGGAAGTACAGTACAGTTCTTCTACTGTACATCCGCATTGTTTATGTACATGAAATTGGAAGCCGTACCAGCCACTTTTTTGTGAAGATTGAAAACTTAAACTAAAAGATAAGTCCCGTTATTTCAGTGTCAGTAATATACGGTACCCAAAATGCTGACTGGAGCAGTTGAAAGTTCAGAAAAAGTATCTGAAAATGAAAAGATTGCGACACGTGCCCAAGGCGTAAAGAAGATCAAATTCATTTTGGCCCTTTTAAATTATCTCTCAGCAAGGAAAAACAATATTGTACAGTGAGACCCCAAGATGCAGACATAATTGGTGCATCAAGAGTGTCCCTAAGTCATGTCTAAGTTTCCCTTGGACTTACATTATATGATTTTTAATTGGCGTTTTATGTACAAAATACCATAATTCTATGAAAATAAAAATTGTTTCCCAATTTAAACTGATTCAATCAATATATTTCAACACAATATGGACATTTGGGGAATTGAATACTGATACCTTGGTACAGTACATNAGAAATGTTGGCATTCTCTGTAAAAATAACGTGCAAGTGAAAAAGAGAGAAGTAAGTACCTCTATGCTAGAGGTAATCTTTTTAAATTAGCTAAATGGATGGTAAATTGGTGAAAGAATTGCCCAAGAATTTTTCTTTCATCAATTTTAGGGTTGGAAATATCTGTTTCTTGTAATTTGGTCTGAAATGTATTTGCAATTTCATCACAAAATGTCCCGATGTTGAATCAGTGTCCTCATGTCAGGCCTTTTTTTTTTAATTTTTATGGGAAAATAAGTGTCCCTATGTCAAATTGTATGCAGGTCACAGTGTCTGCATGTTCTCACAGTGTATGTGTATTTTCTCTATGCGGTGCAGTTCCGTAAAACATCTTCTAAATTTCCTTTTCTCATTTTAAAAATTGCCCAAACCTACTCAATTTTATGTTTTTTTCTTCTTCTCAAGATTCTCAAATGACAAATTTTTTTTTTCAAGGTATGTTTACGAACATAAGCTGACTGCGAGACTGTCACCGGATCTCATCTCCATCACATTCTCTGCATCGACTTTCTGGAACGGCATTTTGGCCATTGTTGCTGGACTTTTGGCATTTTTTTTTCAAGGTATGTTTACGAACATAAGCTGACTGCGAGACTGTCACCGGATCTCATCTCCATCACATTCTCTGCATCGACTTTCTGGAACGGCATTTTGGCCATTGTTGCTGGACTTTTGGCAAACTTATTTGCCGAGTCTCTGTCTTTCGGACCCGTTTCCCCATTCATCGTCGCCCTTCCGTTTCTGGCAATTGCCGCTACTTTAATCCTCACGACTTGGACTGAAAATTATGGAGAGAAAAGCGAGAGTTCCTGGATCATGTCTTGCGGGGAAGGCTTCAACAAGATCCACGAGGACTCGAATATTTTGTTGCTGGGGGCCTTTCAGTCCTTGTTCGAGTCTGTGATGTACATCTTTGTTTTCCTCTGGACGCCCATGTTGAGTGCTGGGGCGCCGCCTTTGGGCTTTGTCTTTGCGGCTTACATGGTGAGACTTGTACAGTATTCCTTTTGCTGATGTTAATTCGATTCACATTGACCTTTTC